CCATCCACAAAATAGATTCTTCGACAGGACCTCCGGCTTTTTCAAAGAAATCCTGCTTTGCTTTGGATTTGTTTTAATTTTAAGCTTTAACAATGCTGTTCTAGAGAAAAGGACATGGTAAATAGGTTAAACAAATTAGCGACAAAGCGATTTTGCGTGTCCGCCACGTGGGAGTGCCTTTTTGATAGTCTCGAAAAATGCGTCATAATGCTGGGTTCTATCTACCCCAAAATGTTGGATCTCAATGCGGGGCAAACCCAAATTTTGTACGCCCTCTATCCTTGCCGATCGCTTCCAAAGCGAGTGGAAACCTTTCTGTTTGGCCCAGAAAGGATTCCGAAGCAAGCCAGAAAAGTTTCAGATTTTTACTCCATCCGATCCGTGGATGGGGTTATATCCAGATATATTTTTGTAAAAAGTTCCATCCGTAGTCCATCTATGTGTATGCAAAAAAACACAAACACACTGTACACAAAACTCAACAATAAGCTTTTACATTTTAGAACTGCAATCGTTATGAGGCTTTCAAGAACGGAATTTGAAAGCTAAAAAATGTTTTACGTTGCAATCACAGGTTTCAACATGAGACCGCTTTATGTGTCATAAGATTCCCAACTTTATGTGCCATAACGAACCCCGAAATTCCCATCGCCTCTACCTGCCACGCCACCATTGTATAATACAAATGACCACGAGATACCGATTTCACGGAACGATCTAAACTCACTTTTGTTACATTTACTCTCACAATCGGTCGGCTCCTTAAAGGCAAGATTTAGAATTAAATTTCCACTCAAATGTGAAAGTAGGGGTAGGAGGTGGACCGCCAGTGGAGAAAAAAATGTGAAATACACAGGAAATACGAGCCTTTTGCTCTACGCTGCGGAGAAGTTCAAAAGGCCGGCAGGGAGATGAGAGATAATGTGAGCGCGGAGAGCGGTAGAGAAGTCCGAGTAGAGAGAGCATAGCAGATCAAGTTAGCGACGCAAGATATCGAGCGGTGGGCGGACCATGTTAAGTTTGGTGGAGTCTGTTAGAAGTTCCATGGCGCCTAGCGTCTAGTAACGCTTTTCGAAGTAGGGAAGGTGACGCGACCTCTGCACTTGCGTACCCAGCGCTTCTAGCCACAGTAAAGGCTCACTGAGTGGGTCTGAGCCCGAACTTTGCCTTTAAGAAGGTACTGGTTACGTGTTGCTGTGAAACGAGCAAAAGTAAAACAACATAGTCTGAGTCCCAAACTTTTTAACCGAAAAAATTCACAAGGATGTATTGATTTCAATGCTGTTAGGAAAAAGGCAATTAATAGCTCTGAAATCACAAAGTGGAGGACAACGCAGGGTCTGCGTACGTTGAGAAATCCTCGACGGGAAGTATGGTCGTACTAATGCAGAGGAGGGAGTCGTCAGAGCCGGGATGAGCTATGATAAGGGCAGCGTTAGCTTATTCGAGTGTGGGTTAGAACCGCGACTCGTGCCGTAGTTGAGTGCAGGGCGCGTCCCTAAACGAGTTCAATCAATGTCATGCGCTCCGATTTCCGTTCTTTGCAATGTAATTGTGAGTTTAAGAGACACTAAGAGACATTAAGATCTTCTAGGAACGGACGGCTTGAAGTTCCGAGGTGCGAAGTGGGCCAGCACCAAAGAAAAACAGAAAAGTCGAAAAAGCCTGAATTAAAGGGCTTATTCTTCCCTTGGTTCCGCTGTGCTAATGTAATGGGAAAGTGAGCACAAAGGAGAGTGGAATGACGATAGATCACGTTGAATGAGAAAGCACAGGTCAACAGCATACCGCAGACAAGGAGAAATTGAAGCGGTTGCAGCGCGAGGGCTTGGCGATCTTCTTCCGTACTCTATAGCGCACTTCAAAATGGAATATCTGCCACCTTCGTGAGCAACTCTATCCTCGAGGTGCCCTTCGTCTCCGATCTATGTAAGTGAATTGAGAAAGGCTTCTCCCTGTCAGATATGCTATCTAATTCTTATACATGGCAAAAAGTTTAACAAAACTAGGAACAAATGCGGAATTTATAGAGGGCCCAAAGCCGAGAATAGAAGTGATTATTTTGCAAATTTGCGTGAACAGAATCACATATGATAGGTGGTTCCACTTAGTTGAATAATTAGGTTGACTTGACTACTCCAACACGAAACTTAATACTTATTGTTATGACTTATTGTAACAGCTTGGCCGTTATAATTAAGTAAGTGGTTGATTAATTGCATTTAAAAAAGTAGTAAATTGAAACAAAGAATAAATTGCTATCGAAAATGATTATTCCAAAGGTTTTGCCTTGTGATGAAATTTTGAAGACAAATTTCGGGTGAAATTCCAAGTTAAAGTTCTTGCATACTCGAATTAGGCGCAAATTTGAGATCAGGGTCAAGCGGTATCTCGTGGAAACCACGTTAGGGAATTCGCATGTGGCGCGCTGGGAGGGAGGGAGGGGGGGGGGGGTGCGGGAGTGCTGGGGGTCGGCGGCGGCACAAAGATTGGCTCGGTAATTCACAACATATACCCATCATATGAGCCCATGAATCAGAATTGATGTCAGGGGTATGGCCACCGTGCCGAGACTGATCAGTGCCTAGCGCTCCATTTCTAATCACTGCAATCAAGATCTAGTATAGAATCGATGAACAACCCTCAATATCTCCGGAGTCTTCATGAAAATACATTTTCTCGAACAGATACCCTTCAAAAAGAATATTTATTTATTCATTGTTTAGAATCCAAATTTACCAACGGAAAATATCAAAAACCAACACCTAATACTGGAAAGAGCCTGCAAGGCATAACAAACAGCAAAACAAAAAAGTGATGATCTGTATGAGGTAGCGGAAAAATTGATGGCAGAATCTCCACGCGAAAGGCCTCAACATATCCTCATTCCAGGTGTTGTCGCAAGATAATTCTGAATTAAGCTGTACGTTTAAGCAGAAAATATTCTTTTAACAATTTTGCAAACTCGGTAGCTGCTCTTGAAGTAGCCCTAATATTTATTTATTTTATTTATTATCTTTGCACTGGTGCGCTATTACAACAACAGAGGGGGTTAGTTCTGATAGAATGATCGAAATCAAAAGAAAACAAAAACAGAAACAAGATATCTTATTTTACTCTTATTTTTTATTCTATTTATATCTATATTTTATTCTGCATAATTATGCACACCTACAAGTGTATTGATAAATAAATAAATATCTCTAAAATAGCCTAACTCGAAATGTTCCCTCAGTCTATGGGCCGACGGCGCAGTGGGGACCAATAAAACAGACTAAAGCACAAAAGAGCTCAGCACTCACTAACTAGCCTATTCGTCCTAGGTCGTGCAACAGAAAGCTCATCCTTCTCTCCTCTTGTATTGGTGTGTGGTATATTAATATATCGAAAATGCATTTTTCAAAATAGGGAATAAAATGAGGAAATTTTGGAGAATCAAAGTTTCTGATTACATAATCCAATAGCGCTCACATGCATGTTCACATTGAGTCCCTATATTTATTTTATTTGTTTACTATTGCACAAATGAGACAACGTTATATTAAATGGGGGAACAGTAACACAATAGCGTGTAAATATATAAATATATGCATATATACATGTACAGCAATATACCCAAAAATATATAGCCAAAAAGTCCCTTCAACGCGAGCGAAGCAGCATGGCCACCCATCACGATTCGGGTCTCATCGGACTAGCTCAGTTCATGTGGTACCATCGCGAGAATATGTCACGATAACCGGGATGCCAAAAACTACAGGTCATATCATATAGGTACTCCTTAATGTTGCCGTCAACTCACGGCTGGCCGCATTAAACTGCTCTTTTAGTACCGCTTCCCCTTCGAATGCAGTATGCTGCAGGGGGTCTAGCAGAAAGCCATGCAGGCGTAGAAGGATGGCATGATTCATTGAGAATACTCGGATGACAGCCATGCGAAATCAACGAGCAAGAAAGAGGTACAATTTTATTTCGTATTGGGCCGTTTCTCATGGTTTTTCTTTATCCCGGCACCATCTCGACCTTAGTTCTGATGGGCTCCCTTCTAATCATAAGCTACACCTTTTAGTACCCGCTTAATCCATATCCGTCGACAAAACTAGAGTAGGAGCTAAAGCCAAAACTTTCGAAAGAAATATAATTCTTTCTCTAAAACTTTGTTAAATGTTGCAGAGCCTTCTTTCCAAACCAATATGTCAAAGCAGAGAGGATGACCACGACACCAGAAATCGAATGAAAAGACGTCTAGATTCAGAGCATAAGAAGATGTGATCTCGAAAAATTGAGAAAGAACACAAAACTGCATAATTTGCTTATCGCGTCGTTTTTGTGACATCAGACATGTGATAGAGCAACTATTGAATCAGTAAGTGTGTAGGTGTGTTTCTGTTCCTTTCCCCAACAGTTCCTCGGGTGATTCAAGCCAACCAAGGTAGAGTGGATTGCCGAGGCACCATGGATTGAGTGAGCGTGCTATTGCCCATTTGCTGGTTGATCCCCTATGTAGACTAGGTTTGAAACACCGTAATCGCAGCCGTGAAAAAAGCTCAAGAGAGGTTTTGAAGAAATTGGAGTGTTAGCCAGAAAAAGCAAGGAGATGGCTTCCTTACCAAAAAGGGTGAGTGTGTGCGCCACTCGCGACCACAAGCTTCAATCCAATGCGATGTTAAAAAGACCTTCTCCGAGTTCATCACCTCCACGGCTTCAGCATTCAGAACAACCGGAGTGATCGAACCCGTTCCTAATTGGCTGAGGTTATTGCATAGATTATGAAAATTCTTTACATAAATCAAGAAAATTTTTTCGTATGGAGATATGCCGCGATCAATCGCGGCTTTCTATGCTAAATTGTTCATTTTCATGTCTAATGGGGGATTCACTTTAATGTAATGTTTTTGGCGTATTTAAGCTCTCTGAGATCTCTTCAGGGAGGTTTCTGCTCCGTTTAAAAGATCAAAGTAGTGAGTTGAGAACGTGTTGAACCACCGAGGACAGTTTGGTGCATCGGCCGCTAATCGAACCCGGACGGCTCGCGTGGCAGGCAAGCATTCTACCACTGAACCACCAATCCATTCGAAGCTCAGGGTAAAATACAAACAGGAGTTTTCTAAACGAACTTGTTGTCCCTAGTCCTGACTCACTACTCAATATTCCACAGTCCTCTAAGTCTTTTTTTTACATCAGATAGTCTGTCGTGCTACCAAAGTTCATCATTTTTCATCTGGGAACAATTACTTTGATTGTAACATCTTTTTTAGATGTGGTTTGCTTGAGTCTTTATCGCAAATGTGAAAAACGACTCGATTTGTGGTTTGATTTTATGGAATAATGTCAGGCCCCCCTCAAAAGTGTTTATATACAGCAGCGGTGCGAAATTTGGAAACTCCATCATTTTCGACATAGCGTCGCCTGAGAAGAATGAAGTAGCCTCAAATTCACACGGAAGACATAAAATGATAGAAACACCATTAACGCCATTTCCGATAATCAAGAGTTTAATGCTATCTCGATAAGAGCGTTTTTACCAATGCTTCCTCACATTATCGAAATGACTGCATTGTGTTTCGCTCACGAGCAACAGCCTCCAGAAAAGTCGGATGACTTCGGAGAAGCGAAGGATTCATCTACACCTCCGGGCCCCTACATTCTCACAAAAGAGACGGTCTAGTGTCTTTTTCTGTGCTGTCCAGAATCAACCAAAGGCCAATGAATATTCGATGATCCAATGAAGCCTTTTTTTCCTTGATGCTCATATTACAACCAGTTTGGCTGCGCACGCATTCGCGTGCATCACACGGGGGTTCAAACAGGATGATCACTGTTCTTTTCTAGATTTTAGTTTTCTTTCGGTACATCCCATTTACACCGACTATTAGGTCAAACTATATTTTCTATTATAACTATAAGGCGGTTTCGGAGAGGGTCTTTCTTCCAAGACAGGGTTTTTTTCGGAAGGTGGTAAGGCTGGTCTGTAAGCAATGTTCTCTCTCTATTACTGCAGAGCTGCTGAGTGAGATTCCAAGGTACGGCTGCTTTGGAGACACTCCTCTTTCGAAATTCATGGGTAACCCCGCCCACTTTTGCGCATGTCCTGCCCACTGAGACTTCATTTCCTTCGCTGACCTCTATACTTTTTTCCTGGTGTCCAAGACTTCTTGGAACCGAGTAATAATGTTTCGTGCATAACTCCGCCCACTTTTGTGCAAGCTTAGCCCACCATTAGCATGTAACCCCTTTCCCTCCGGCAACCCTTATCCACATTTCTCCCGGTCGTCTAGCCGTCTTGGAACCGAGTTATGAGAGTGGTGGCAAACTCCGCCCACTTCGGGTGTGCCACGCCCAGCGTTCACATTCAACCTCTACTCCTACTTCTCACCTCTACACACATTTTTTCAGGTCTCTAAGTCATCTCGGAGCCGAATTATGAGGTCTTGTAGAAGACGTTATGAGTCATGAATTTCTGGGGCAAACCCCGCCCACTTTGGTGCACACTTAGCCCACCAATAGCATTTAACCCCTGTCCCTCCGCAACCCTTATCCACTTTTTTCCCGGGCGCTGGGGCTTCTAGGAACCGAGTTATGAGAGTGGTGGCAAACTCCGCCCACTTCGGGGTGTGCCACGCCCAGCGTTCACATTCAACCTCTACTCCTCCTCACCTCTACATTTTTTTTTCAGGTCTCTAAGTCATCTCGGAGCCGAATTATGAGGTCTTGTAGGGGACGAAATCGAGCTACGTATCTTTGTGGCAAACCCCGCCCACTTTGGTGCATGGGTCGCCCACTGATATCAGTTGACTATCATCTCTTCCCCAACCTTTTTCTACTTTTTCCCATCTCCTGGAACTTATTGGAACCGAGTTATGAAGTACCGTGGCAAACCCCGCCCACTTTGGTGCATGCTCCGCCCGCCAACAGCGGTTGACCCCTTTCCCTCTGCCAACCCTTATACGCTTTTTTCCCGGACTCCGGGACTCCTAGGAACCGAGTTATAAGCCTAATTGCAAACTCCGCCCACTTTGATGTAAGCCACGCCCATCCCTGACATTTAGCTTCCCCTCCCCTCCTGACCTCTATCCGTTGTTTTCCGGTCTCTAAGTCATCTCGGAGCCGATTTATGAGCTCTTGTAGAAAACGCTGTCCGCTTCACGACACGCTCCGCCCATTGTGGCGGCTTCCTCTTAACCGAGTTATGAATATTTTCACTGAGCACCCATTTTCTAGAGAACGCCCCGCCCACCGAGGGTGGGTCTCCTCAGTTCAATCTGGCTTACCAACCCACACCTATGCCCACTTTTGTCCCGGTCTCGAGGCTGTTTTGTGACTGAATTTGAAATCATGGTCCTCAGTACCACTCATTTCGACGCACGCCACGCCCACTGTGGGCGGGGCTCCGCTTAGGTAATGTATGTTTTTTACTTCTCGAGATATGGTACACCCATCCCAAACTTGACCTGGACCCAGTAGGTTGTTGTCCGCTTAATACGGAATTTCGTGACAGACAGACAGACAGACAGACAGACTTAGCGCATTTATATAGTAGGGATACTTGGGCTCTGGCAAGCGCTGTGCGCAAGCCGCGAGTATATTCGGAAGCTGCTTTCTCTTGGTGCTTGGACGCTGCTAATCGAGAAGTTTCCTTCATTTATTCTAGGCACCCAATTGTTAGCGAAGAAGTGAGGAAGCTCAAGATGAAAGTATATCCAATACTCTGAGACTTCCTCTTCCTGAGAATATGGTGGCATTTGAACGCCGAACATCAAAACAGTTGAAACGGGAAAAATGGAAACGAGCGACATCCATCCAAATGCCAACAACCTGATACATATTTAAAGTTATATTCGTGTTTATACATGCAAAAGTTTGCAACTGTAGATAGAAGGTGGATCTTAAAAGCGAAGTAGAGCAAAATGCAGGAAGATTATTGAAAAACACCACAAAAATTTCCGAAGTTCTGCTCTCAAGCAAAAGTGGTTCCTCAAACGCATTGACAATATATTTATATGCTATAGTACCAGTATCGTGAGTCATTCAATAAAAAACGTTTGCATCAGTTGCACCGCTAGAGAGCTCTCCACTTCGCCGTCCAACAGATATTGCGTCGGAAGGCTCTTTCCAAAAAAGCTAAAAGTCGTGATCTTTCTTCTCTTCAACTTCATTAAAATTGAAGGAAAGGGGGCCTGGTGTAGATTTTTTCTACAAAAATCGTGACAGCGTAGCAGCTGGAATTATCACAGGATTGCTGTATTTCCTGAGCAACGAAAGTATTACAGTACTCTAAACATATATTTGAGTAAGTCATGAAAAGTATCTTCAAAAGAAGCCGCATTGCGGAATGTGGTAAAGACATCATTTAAGATAATAATTTGTTGCTGCTACACTGGTATGCGAAACTCAAGGACGAACCTCAAAGGCAAGAATCAGGATTAAATTGATGGGGTGATTCCACTCAAATGTGAAAGTAGGGATGGAAGGTGGACCGCCAGTGGAGAAAAAAGGAAAGAAAATCCTGAAATACACAGGAAATACGAGCATTTTGCTCCATGCTGTGGAGAAGTTCAAAAGACAGGCAGGGAGATGAGAGATAATGTGTGCGCGGAGAGCGGTAGAGAATTTCGAGAAGGGAGAGCACAGAAGATCACTGTAGCGACGCAGGCAAGACTATGGGCGGACCATGGTAGGTTTGGTGGAGTCTGTTAGAAGTTCATGGCGCCTAGGGTCCTAGTGACGCGTTTCGATGTAGAAAGGTGGCGCTAACTTTGCACTTACGTACAAAGCACTTCTAGCCATGGTAAGGGCTTCTTAGGTGGGCTGAGCTCGAGCTTTACCTTTACTTTTCAGTGACGTGTTTCTGCCGAGTAACTAAGCTCGATACAACCTAATTACCCACAAAGACGAATTACCAACTACTCGAGTACAGTACAAAAGCAAATGACAGGAACCTTCAAAAGGACCGCGGAACTATCAACAAGTTAGGTTGCTTTATCTGACTCGTCTTTAATTTTTGCACACCAATGTTTTTACGGAGCTACATCCCTGGTGCCATGTTTTACCGGCTGAGAGGAAGTTCTACAGAACAGGGTTTACACTAGAGGCCTAAAGTACTTCAGGCAAGGGTACGAATATTTGCTGTTTTTATCAACTGTCGTTGTTTCATAATTATTGTCATTATGAATGTTTTTTTTTCAATTTGTTGCTGTATGCATTCCCCTCTCCCCAAAGAGTTTTATAAACATATTGATTAGGTTAAGTGAAGTTGAGGAGGTAGAAGAATGTGATCTAGGTGGGAATCCGTTTGAAAAGATGTCCTTGCCGGCTCTGCGGAAAAGCTTCGGCGCGCACGCGTACGCGTGTTGGTGACGTCACAGTAGCGGCCAGCGCACAAGCAAAGACCGGCTCTTTTATCAATGAATGAGTGCTCCCATTGATCGTCATCTTTTTTCACTGTTATGATAAACAGAAGCGAGTAGAGATCGAGCTTGAAAAGGAACCTGTTTTAATCAACTCCACCTTGACTGTGTAACCCTAAGAGCTTACACATGAAGGTCTTGACTGCTACGTTTTCAGAAAAATCCATCCTAGTCCGTTCACCTAATAGATTCATTCGCTAGCAGCATAACTTATACAATTTGTTTATGGCAGAAACCAAGCTAATTGAGCAAAGTGGCAGCGTCGCTAGCCTCTGCTTGGCCTTCTTTTCAGTTTGTCGCAGCTGCGACGTCACTTCCATGTCACCAGCCGCGCTCGCGTCCCCGCCGCCGGTGAGCTTTTCCCTCTCCCCCGTCCTTGCCAGCGTAATGGTCACAGATGAAGATTAAGCTTATTGACACCGCAAGAGAGCTCAAGGGAAGAGCTGGTGCGCTCCAGTTCTGTTCAGGCCTCATTCCGGAATAATTAGCTATCGATGGCTGTACTTTGTCAGAAATGGTTCAAAAATAAAAAGGAGAAAAAGGATTAATATGGTGTCAGCACTGGGAAAAACATGAGGTGGAAATACCTTCGTGACGAAGTGCAAACACGAGTAGGAGGTTTAATGGAATGTAAAATCGGTTGAATCCTCAGTTCTGCCCCACA